CCAGAACTGTCAGAAAACATCCCCTTAAAATTTCAGCTTTCTAGCTTCCGTGGCCCCTGAGTTAGCCACTTACTGGAACAAAATTTTCACGGGCCCGTGCATATTTACCAAGCATGCTTGAGAGCTGGGTTCGAGCTGAATGAAATTTAGGTGGACGGGGTATATCTTCTTAAAATTACATTCCTTTAGCTTCTCAGGTAATTGAGTTATCACTTTATAAGAAAAAAATTTTGGCGGGCTCGTACGCGGGTACCACGCTTACCCGGGGGTTGGGTTTGAGCTCATTAGTACCTACTTTGACTGGGAACATTCTCTTAAAATTTCAGCTTTCTAGCTTTTCAGATCCCCGACTTGTGAACTTACTCGAAAAAAACTTTGGCGGGCCCGTACGCGGGTACCTCGCGGGGCATGGCGCCAATTTTGGAGACTGGGGCCTGTACGTACATGTAGATTAAGTTCCCAAAGTTTCAGCCCCGTAGTTTTTATAGGTCTTGAGATGAAAAACCGTGACAGACGCACACACGGACACACAGACACACAGACGCACAGACACACAGACACACAGACGCACAGACACATAGACACACATACACACAGACAACCTCTCGTCAATATGCGTTTTTCGCATGGCATTGCTGCAAAAAACGCATAAAAAGTAGTACGGTTTCGCGGAGACATTCTGAAAAGATTTTCCTCTTCATTGGAAAGAACAGTGCGAAACGGGGGAAGGAGGGCAGTAAACAAGCGTAACCATAAGCTACACGTAGGAGCATTCCAGTAACATCACTAACTTGGAATCTCCAGGTCGACTGTTCGGATGATCTCAGTATTCTTGAATAAATAGCGGCTCCTAAAAATTATAAGCATATGTTGCTTAGAGTTAGCTCAAATTACTCCTCTGAATTTTATTAAACATGTTTCTTCGTTTCTGGGTTTCCTTTTTAAGAGTCGATAGTGGTGGTACTTACTTGTATCGGTGCATGAATCATCTGATGATTGCTTGTCTGTTGCACTTCTTAAGAATGCTTAAATACTCATTTTTTTCTTTGGGGGCGGATTCTACCAAATCCGAAGTAAGAACTAAGCTTTCAGGTACCGAATAAGTAGCCAGTTTATAGAGACACGTTGTCCTGCATTACTGCCGTTGATGCAGTTTGACGAAGCAACGCAAGAATACGCGATATATACCGCAGCCACTATTGATATTGTAATTTGTTTGATTTTTTCCCGCTCCTCGCGACTACTCGCTAGCAAGGCTGCCCATGATTTTCTCTTTCGAAGACTGCTTGGAAGTAACTTGATGGCGATTTGACCCTTTAGTATGTATCGGTGTTTAGTTATCAGCGGCGCAAATGAAAATGGAGAACGCCACTTCTACTGAAGGAGTTAGACTCATGTCGTTGAAACATCCTCTTATCTTTACGACCCTTAGGAAAACTCCTAGGATCTGAGGCGACAGAATCAAATTTCTCTGACTATAAGCATGAAAAAGGCGGATATAGCAGACAGTACGGATTACAAAAGGCCCCGATTTCTATCACAGTCAGCTTTTTGTCTTCAAAATGCCGTCTGCTTGAATTGGGATAATGACAGCTAGAAATGCTCTTAAATCAGTTCAAATTCAGATCGTTGACATATTCAGTGCACTAAAATATAATGACCTGAAAACAAACGACTGGCTTCAGCTGGAACGAGATCTCAAAGCGGTTGGTCGTTTTTTAGTCATGGGCAAAAATTGAGTGACCTCATTTAAAATAATAGTCTAGAATCTCTAAAAGCCCAGCTGAAAAGACTTTTATGGCTTTCAGCGCAATATGCTTTTTGTCCACTTTAAGCCTAGAGTTTTACTCAATAAAAATCCATATTAAATTTCCTGCTTAAAAAATATTGGTGAGAAGGAAGTAAAGAATGTTTTTGGGCTGATGTCCAAGAAAAATGAGCCAAGCATGCACAAAGGGGAGAAATAAGTGAGAATAGTTCATTATAAGAAATTTATAAAAATATTTTCTGGTACAGTTGATAAGAAGATGAAGTAACTGAGAACAAGAAGGTGACATAACTCTTCATTCTCTCACAATCTAGCTCAAGTTTTTGTTTATTCGGTCAAATTCAAGGCTAAAGAATGGAAGCTAAAAGAAGTGGAGCGTTGCATTGTTCAGAAATTCATTGCTAACGTTAACGAAGAAAACTGCATTGCCGTATGGCGATTATGTGCTCGATATATGCCTGATGAAGCAAAAAAGGTACCAGTGGATTTGCCAAAAAATGAATATCGAACTTTGGTTTTGAACATTGAGCATTTTTGATTTTAAATACCCAGCGAGACACTTTTTTACTGATTTCCAGGTATTTGAATATGTGCTATATACGGTAAACGAAACAGTGGTTAGCGGGCGTAATTTGGATTTTTTTCGCCTCAAGCATGAACATTTGTATGAAATTCTGGATGCTGACCTGCTCAATGTTGACAATGAGGTTCTCAGTTAGCTTTTCACTACTTCCATTCTATGCCGAATAAACACTGACTAAGTTAGTAAAAAATTCAAAAAAGAATTTTGAATCCGTTATTAACTGCTTTCAACTACAATTTTCCGGATTTCATTTTTTCGGGTTTGTTTTTTCGTTGTCGCGGAATATGCTCTGCTACGCAGTTAGATGCCTAAAAATTAAAAATTTGAGAACAGAATTTTAAAAAAAGGTGGAATTTTCAGCTAGAAGTTTGGTTGCTTCTCAGAAGATGGATCCTGGCAGATCGCAAAAATCGCCTTAGACTCTTCCGCAAACTGATCAAATCTGTGCGGTACTACCAGCTTAATGATAAACAGGTACGGTTTTATTGATAAATAGAACTGGTGTCTTAACAGTCTGATCTTTTTCTGCCGCGTGTTTTCAACAACTTGTACAGAGCTGCATCCATTCCGACCTGAAAGGCTTCGCAGTGTAAGCAAGAAAAAGCATTTTGAGGAGTTTAGCGCTGCTACACAGATTCAGCGTTACCGAGGAACTGATTCTTCCTGACTTTCCTTTTGCCCAGTGTCATTTGGATTTTCCTGATTGCCCAGAGAGACTGCAGAATATAAGTAAGCTGTCCAGGTAATCTTGTCCTAGCTTCGAAGGAGGATTTTAATTTTGTGACATTTAGCATATTTCCTTCAAACTACGATTACTTGAAAGCCAGTCCGTATCCGCGTCTGTGAAGGGAGAAGTTACCTGAGAAATAATTTGGATAGTAGCAAATGTCAACGGTAACCACCAGTTGGCAATTTCTTCGAAGACACTCTTTCCCGAGGAGCGCTTACAGGCAAGTTGGTGGAGGCTTGATTCATTGATATATGCCTGTGTTAATTTATTGAAACGAATGAGTGAGCCGTTGTAAAATATAAAAATATTTACTGTCAGTATAAATGAATAATTATATTTTTCATTTCCTGGATTATAAGCTTTTTCAGGATGGTATGTTTTCAGATTTCTGTACCGCATACAAAAATTTATTTAATGTTCTAGAAAGAGAAGATGAACAAAGATTTACTGCAAATGAAAATAGACATCACGAATGAAAACAACAGACAGTGGTCCAGCAATATAACACCACGGATCCCGCGAGAATTACTGGTAGCAATCGGTGGATGGGAAAAAACCGGTCCATCGAATACAGTTGAAGTACTGGATATCAAAAATAACATATGGCGGCGAGTAGAAGCATTTCAGGATGAGCGCAAAGTGGCCTACCATGAATGTCTTGTCATCGATAAGGTCTGTTGTAGAAGTTATTTATGAACTTCAGCAATCTTTTTTCTTCGAACTGTTTAAACTTCAGTGAATTAACCAGCCTTAAAAGCAGCTTATTTTT